CCCTCCGGCCCCACATGGGTTGATATGTTCTGGGCCATGCACACCTCTAGGGACGGCTCTGACTGTAATTATCCATTGTTCCTTGCTGTAGTTTAAGGGCCTTTTTGCATGGTAATTTGGGGCAGCTTCTGGAGTTATTAACACCTGGAATGTCTTCCCATTGACACCTAAAACTACTTTTAAGCACACTTATGCAGTTCAAAATTACACCACTCCAGGGCAGGAATATCTCTGATCCATATTACCCAGCTGGTGTTATGCTAAGGCTTCCCTTCTCCATTGGCGTGGATTGGGTCCACTGACCCCCCCATCCTCCTCAGTACCCCAAATTCCTCCTTACAGCCCCCCACACTCCACTTACTTGTGGCTCCCTGAGGGAGAAGGGAAGGGTTAACTTGTTTGTCCAGTCACCGCTGCTGCTCTCTGGGCCTCACTTAGCTCAGAAAAGAGCAGTTTGGCAGGGACATATGTGGTAGCTGGGCAGGCAGGTTAACCCTTTCCTGCTTGTTCCTGAGAACAGATGGCATGGGCAGCCACAAGTAAGTGAGGGAGTGGGGAAGGGAGGGATCCCTGGGGATGGTGGGGAACTGGGGAGTCCCAGGGAGCAGGAGGCAAAGGGGAAGTTTGGAATGGGGGAGCGGGATTTTTACCTTTTATACTCTAAGCCCCTGCTGGTCTGAATGTGTGCCTGCTCTGAACTTTGGTTAGCACCAACACTGATCAGTTTGTGCAGCTCACATTGTAATGTAACAAGGACCTAAAGCCCACTTCATAATGTTATTTGAACTGAATTAAGCACAGCCATATTGGTACTTTACTCCACGACTAGAAGTAGAGACATGAATGATCTTTTTCTGTCATTAAATCTTGCTGTTGTGGACTTGTTTCAAATGTCATTAAAGCTACAGATGGACCTACATTAGAGAGACTGTAGATGTTGGCAGTAAATAAAATTAGATTACAGATAGAAAAATGTAAGCTAATATAGGCATTAAAAGTAAATTGCTCATGGCTATATACTTTCTGATTTGTAGTGAACTGAAGCCTGACTGGGTATGGCAGAGTCCTTTCATATCGTATGGAATGTATGATGCAGAAGAGCCTTTGGCATTATCTAGACTTTGGCTACATATTCTAGAAACCAAGGCAGTAATAGCCTAATACCAAGACTTTTGCTAAGTTTAACACATTAAGGCAACATATAGTTTCTCCTGGGAGAAATGGTGCTCTCCCAGGAGAAACCATGAATTACAGCTTACACATTTTCAGGACTTTTCTTCCAAAGCAAAAATGGCTACTTCAGGAGAAAAATAATCAGGGAACAGACAGGATTTCTCATGGGAGAGCAAATGCCTGTCCAATTTACCCTTCCAAGAGAAGTTGCTGCATAATCCTGCAGTATCCCAGGGTGCTTTGCCTCTTCCAGTCTTCCCTTCCCTCCCCTGCCCTCCACCTTTTCCAGGCCCCAGAGACAGCATGTTGCTTGAGTTGGATTCTACTACTCAAGCTGAGCAGGGAGCAGAGAACACTCCTTTCCCATGTTGTGCTGCAGGGAAGCTCAGGCTGAATGGCTGACCCAGACTGCTCCGTCAGGGCTGCCCTGTACTTTACTGCCATGTGGCACCAGGCAGACTGAGGAATCCTGCAAAGCATCCTGAGATGTGTACACAAGGGCATGCTGGAATGATGTCAGCACTGCTAGCTCTCTGCTCTTCGGGGACTTAGCATTCAAATGTCTGTTCAAGCATCTTTGGGTAGGCTTTTCTAGCAAAACAAACCCAGGAGAATTCTTCTAAGTCATTTGAATGCGTGTATGAAGCCTGAGTGATATAAGAGCACAGGACTGTATAGGCCATCCATCAAATCCTGCCTCTTGTAATGGACATTCACTCCTGTGTATACATCACATCCATATGTGGATGTGATGCATCTGTTTGGTAAAAGTACTGGACAATATTCGTTTTTGTTACCTGTGTGTGATGAGATATACCTGCAGCTGACTAGTCCTCAAGGCTAGGTGTCATAGAATCTGCTTATTTGAAAAAAAAAAAAATGCATTTACATTTCAGTTTGATCTTTCAAAGATCCAACAACATACTGCAGCTAAGGAATTTCTTGCCCTCCTTTTGCTGAAGTTGGTATTGCGCTTTGTAGAATACGGTATTTGGTACTAAAAGGAGCTATTGAGCCTTTGATGCTGTTCATGTAACTTTTTTTTACCTTTTTTGCTTTACCTCCTCCTCCATGACATACTTGCTACTCTTTGAAGTTGCTTGCTGAAAATATCGGCCTCGTAAAAACGATCAGCCAGCTCCCAGCTTCATATTTATTAGCGTACTTTTTCAGTTTTATTCCTTTGAGGCTGATACCTTAAGATAACATAAATTACCAGAAAATAACTTTCTTACCTGCTGTTTACAAGTTTCAATTTAGGCCTCATTAGAAGGGTAGGTATATAGGATTTTAATAGCTGGAGAGCTGCTCTAAAAATGTAGCATTTACTGTATAATCCATTTGGGAGCTCAGTAACTATTGACTCTAAAATATTTGAACAGACTTGGTAGCAACTGTTTCAATAATTTGATTAGGCAAGTTGCACTAGTCACCGTTAACAATACTGAACTCAGTTGCATCTTAAACATTAAATAATTAATTTACTACTTTAAATGTTATTGTTCTTCTGACTCTGTATTGTGCAAGTAAAAGAGAGAAGAATTCTAAGTATTTTTAGCATATGATATAATTTATGTATTCATGGCTTCTGTGATTAAAGACCTAACTTAGAAGTAACAGCATTTTTCTCTTATAATAAAACTCCAAGGCAATTTGCACTTAATCATGCTGAGGAAATTAGGTGAATTGCTCAAGATTACCTTTAATGCCTAACGGATAGTTTAATTTTTCATCTGTTATCTTTTAAGATTTATAACTTGTTAGGTAAAAAAAAATACTAAAATGTAAGAACTTTCTACTGTAGTAGGCAAATCTAGTGCACTCTGCTGCCACTTTGTCATTTTTTTTTAACCAAATTATTATGGGTAAAAGCTACTGGCACTATTAAAGATATTCCCCCCTAATGGTGGCTATCAGTTGAGCAATGTAGTCTTATCTAGTAAAGGAAAATTATCCTGTAGCTGAAGAGCTTCAATAATATTTTAAGTTTAGCTAAGTTATTTTGTAGGTAGAGTTTTCCTCACTAGAAACTATATTAAAAATGACTTTATTATTCTACAGTAACTTCACAGGATAAAAATTATTGCTGTATTTACTGTATTTTCCCATAATAGCAGCAGGCAATATATATATAAAATTAAGTGTTTGGCTGATTTTAATATTTGTGAAAATAATTGGACTCAGTCGCAGCTAATTAAGAAGAGAAAACAATTCACATTTCAATTGGAAAAATAAAGATTGGTAACTTTCCAGTTTAATATTTTACAAAGGATATGTAGGATAAGATTTTTAGCTAAAGGAAATTCAAAATGTATGCTACATTCTGGAAGAGCTCTATTTTAACTGGGATTATGACAAACGTGCACTTCCAGAAGGTCCTATATTGTAGGGAAAGTTTTTAGTCTCTGAAAACATAAGCTTAGAATGAGTACCAGGAATTTGTAACCATGATTGTGTGACTAATACAGTATTCTGTTGCTTTGACTCTTCTGAATTTTATTTTTAAAAGTATTTTTCATGCACAGAAAATCCACAAGAAAATCAATGCCATTTTGTGCCAGGGTGTAGTACTTATCCTCAGATGGAAGAAGTCAGTTGTTAAAGTCTTAAATTTGAGCTATTGAGAAACTCGCACTTCAGGGAAATATTCCTCATAGTACAATTTCAAATCTTGGTAGAGTAAATTTCATCCCTCATCTGTTTGTGGAAGATGAGTTGAATTCTATGCAATTAATTGTGTAGGTATTTTAGATGAATCATTGCAACCCAAAGTGTCTGTTCAGGTTGAACATTAAAACCGAGACACTAAAAGTCTCTGTAAGGATTTGATGCTGAATTCTCTGTCTCTCCAATAACTGAAAAATCTGTACCCCAGAATCCATTGGCAAGTACAATTAGGGTAGGAATTGCCCTTGGCCATATAGCTCCTTCCCTCGTTTGTGTGTTGTCTGCTGCATGACGGTTGGTTGACTTTTCTCCATTTGCATGGTTAGAATGGACTACATGTTCACAGCACCACGCAGGTATGCCATTCAAATGTAAGTATTTGAGATAATCAGATAAACATTCTTCTGTGAGGTTTATTATGTGCATGAAGTTCTCAATCATGCTGGGCTTTTTGTTTGTTTGTTTTTAAGGTAAAATTGCTGTTAGGGAGGTGACCAGTAAAATTCATTGCTGTTGGATGACAACATTTACAGTTATTTTAAGCAGGCTGTTTTAAAAATGTAAACCTTTCATTTCAAGCCAGCCACTAACTGATGTCTTTTTCTGTTATGTTTAGAGAAAGTATGTTAGACTAGATAGACCTTTGATCTGGTCTGCCAGTTACTACCTTCTAATAGTTACATAAAACAGAATTTTCTGTAACAGTTGTGTGTAATTTATTAGTATTGATGTAATTTATTACATTGATATAATTTGTGCCTGAATGATGAAAACTAAATGATCCTACTGATACAAATGCTATAACAACTGCTCTGAAAATGGGTTCTAGGTGTAAGTCAAAATTGGGGAAATAGAAACTTGAGAAGATGTGACATTCTCAAAAATAGGCTGAGCCTGTTGCAGAAGGAAGACTATAACTCAGAAGGTCCTGGTTCACAATCCCTGTCAGAATCAACTATAACATTTTCAGCTATTCCAACTGCTTACATGCCACACAGTGGACCACACTTCTTTTTTTTATTTTTGTGCGACTCCCTTGACTTCACGGTAGCTGGAGTGATCTAACATAATTTGGTCATATGGATGTTAATTAAAAAGTCCTATTTTCTGTTTCTCAGTCCTACATTTTTATATTTTACAGATTATTGTTCAGTTGTAACACTTGTGGACCAATCAAATGTCAAGTTGACATGTACACTCTTTAATGGAAATCTAGATGCCCTTCCAAAAATCTACAAAATTGGAGATATTGTTCGATTTCATAGAATAAAGGTATGTGATGGCTTTCTTTACACTTGTTACTTTGTCCTGGAAGACTGAGATGTTGGAGTAGCAAAAAACACTTTGTTCATACTAAGTATTTCAGTCGCGCCAACAGTGGATAAAGAATAAGACAGCTAGCACTAATTGGGCTAGCTATGTTGTAGATGAAAGCTGAAAATTGATTTGGAAAACTTACAGTTAAATGATATTGACAATACTGATGAGGCTCCTAAAATAATAAAATAAACCAAATACCGTAAGTGATAGTTGGGATTCTGGTACATTCAGTTTTGGATGTGGGTAGCCCCATGGGCCTGATGTGATGGCTCCGTAGGCTGCAAGTTGACCACCCTAGTATAGAGGTAGACCTATTGAAAAGGATTGTGTTTAAAAAATAAATTAGAAAAATCAGGAGTGTAGGTTGTAGCCGTGTTGGTCTAAGGACACGGGCAGCAAGGTTCTTTGGGTGAATCTGGTATCTTTTATTAGACCAACTTAAATAGTTGGAAAAAGTTTTCTTAGCAAGCTTTTAGGTTTAAAAACGCTTCGTCAGGCTAGGAAGCGTCTGCAGTTGGTGTGTGCTTTTTCTGGATGGAATGAAAAGTAAAGAAGCCAGAGGCTGGGCTGGTATGCATAAAAGACAGACAGTCAGTGAAGATGTAAACTGAGGAGTCAGTGGGTGAGAGACAGGCTGGGTGGTGGGGGAAAGAGAAGGAGGTTGAATGTAGCAAGTAAATAGTGGAGAGGTACCTGGGGAGTCAGATGCCAGGCAGGTTATAATGTTTCATAAATCCTATGTCTATATTTAGTCCATTATTTTTTGTATCCAGGAGGTTGATGAAGTGAAGTTCATAGGCTCCTGTCTGAGAAGTGTTTCGTAAGTTCCCTTTGAGGATTAGAACTGAAAGATTGGAGAGAGAGTGGTTTTCTTGTGAAAAATGTGCCTCCACAGATAACTGGGTATTCTTGTCTTTGATAGGTGTGTGGTATGCAGTTGTTGTTTGTTCTCCTACGTATTTTCCATCAGAACATATATTACATTTCTGGAGATACAGCTGTAAGATGCAGGGATGCTTATGGCTCTGTTGTGGGGTGTAGTAATTGTGGGGGTGGTGGAGATGTGTTGGCAGGTTTTGCATGTCTTGTTATGACGTGGTCTGGATCCATTTGGTGTGTTCTGGGCCTGAGGAAATTTGCTTCTGGTGATGAGGTTAGATAGGTACAGTGCTTGTTTGAAGGCTAGGATGGTAGGTTCTGGGAAGATCTCTTTAAGAATAGGGTCTCCGTCCTTCTAGTATGGGTTGCAATTTTTTGAGGATTTTCTGTATGAGCTCGAGGGAGGGATGATATGTCACCAGCGGTGTGAGATTTGGGGCGGGGGAGTTCTCCTGTACTGTCTGTGTACAAAAGATTTGTGAGACAAAAATAAATTTCATTTTCTCTTAAAATAAGCCCTCATGATTCTGACATAAGACAATTATCATCTGTCTAGGTTAGCAAGAAACTTCCCAGTAGGCATTTAATTTCCTGGTAGTAGTCATAGTCCCTGGGCCATAGCTATGCGCTGTGCACTCAGACCCCCTCCCCTGGGCCCCTTGCTGCTTCTGGATCCACCGCTATTGTGGTAGCCGTGGTGGCCCCCCCATCTCCCAGGCTAGATACTACTCGCAACAAATCCTGCATTCCTTGCCCATCTCAGGGTTCCAGGTGAGTTTGACACCATTTTAAAGCAACAGGCTCTGCCACTGTCTGAGAGGCTACCAGAGTTGAAAGTCTGTCCGTTTGATCTAGCATGGCAAATTATATATGCAGGTTTTAAAACAGCCCCCATATCTTTTTTATGAATTGATAATCCCAGATTATTTCCTGTGATTACGGTTTTACAAAAAATGTCCTGATTTCTGAAAATTGAGACTACTGTATGTCTCTTGAATCTGGAATCAGTTTTTTTCAGTATGATTTAAAAAAATAAATAATGAATACAGAAATAAAGTTGAATAATTTAGTATCTCTTTTAGGTTAATGCCTATGTAATTCTTCAAGGACAATTGGGATGAATCAATTAAACAGAAAAAGACAAAGGTGACATATACATGCCTACTGCAGCTCAGGACTTGCACTATCCCCATTCAGCTGTTATCTTTGGAAAAAAAAGTTAACAAAGTCTAATCTCATTTTTTGATTTGGGAACAAGGTGGAGTGCTTATGGTTTGAGCAAAGAGACATAGTTAGCTGTATTAGCCTAAAGTCAGGAAGAAGGTAAAATAGGTTTGCACCATGGATTTGCTTTATCAGAGATGTATAAGCTTTCATAAGGAATAGTGTACTTTATTAGATGAATCAGATAAGGTGTAAATCTACTCTGCCTTGTATTGTTTGTAAAATTAGTCGGGTAGGGCAATACGTAATAGAAAAAGGAAAACTATTTTCCCTTCTAACTGGAGTTCTAAGTATATTGCCTCTGCAGATTTGCATTGCTTTCTGTCCCCTATTCTCATCTCTTTATTGTTTCCTGAACAAGTGAAAAGGACTGGAGTGTGTCTAGTAGCCATGGTCTTTTTACATCTGCTCATCAAATAATTCCATCACTGGAGTGTGTCTGTATCCCAACAATGCTTTCAAGCTGTTTCTAAAGTTATGACAACTGTCTGTTTCTAGACTCAATCTCAGCTCCAGGTGAATAACTTTATTTCCTTGTAAAGTTCCTGTGAATCAGAAGAAGAGATGCTTCTATTTGGGATTATTTTGAACACGGTGACATTATTTACTCAGTATTTGTTTCAAGAAATGATCATTTCAGGGTAAGGGATTGAAAGAGTATCTACTTTTAATTATTTTCATGTTAATACTTCCTGAAATTTATTTTCATGACTCTGTTATAATACTTAATGTTGTATCTATGCCTTCTGCTATAGAAAGGTGTCAGTGGAAGGGAAGAAACTTTTTTCTCCCAATCAGTAGAAGCATGTTGGTATGACGTGTGCTTGTAAACAGCTTAAATATTTTCATCTTATGTTGCGTAAAAAAATGCTACATTAAAAAAAGTTAAAGCGGCGAAGCCAAGCACTCAAAAATAAGCAATGCTAGAATTTTAGGTCACCTGTGCGAGCTAAATTTAATTCCTTAGTGCATGTATATGTTATAATTGTAACTTTTTAAATTGTTTGATCACTTGCTATTAATTTTCCACCAGATCCCTCTTGCTTAAGTCAGTGCATAGAATGGACTATGCTTCCTTAATGAGTAGGTGTTCAGTTCAGCATAGGTTCCAAGCTTTATTTACTCCATATTATTCAAATCATGCTCTGAAGACAGAATTAATTACATCATGGGCTTTTCTCATTTGCTCATCATTATAACATCTGAGTGCCTCATGAACATTAATTTTCTGTCATACTACCCACTGAAATGATGCAGTATTTTGCAGTTAAAGAATTGGTGCACAGTGAGATATTTATCAGTGTATATTGTTTTCGATGTTCAAAATGCAGCTGCCATTGACTTCAGTTGCAGCGGGTAGTCAACATTATTTCAGATCAGACCTAAATTATTCAGTTTGGGCACACTGGAAGTAAGAAACATGAATTTAGTACCCTCCACACCCCTCACCTATCACCATGACAGGTTTGGTTTGTGACTTGCCCACATAGGGCGGGTCCAGACAAGCGCACACATGCATCTTGCAGCATCTCAAACCCTTTTGAAATGCTGCAAGAGTCGCGTGCAGGAATGAAAAAATGTTCCCAGTGCTGTAAATTTGCGGTGTGGGGGCAAAATTAGACCCTGGATATCCAGGGGTCAAAAAATACCCTGGGTGAAAAAAGCAGGGCAGGCCACGGTCCCAGAGTGTGCCATGAGGCAACCCAGGAGTTGGTCCTCCAAGATGGATGCTCTGGTTTCTGGCCAGAACCTCTCTATAGTGCTCCTGCTGCCCCAGCAGGCAGGGCATGAACACTTACCATGCTGGGGGAAACAGATGCGTGGCAAGCATTGGCACCCAGGAGCTGTCATGGGTAGATAGGGACATTGGGTTGGGGGGGGTTATGGATGTGGGTG